ATGTTTAAAAACCTCTGCCTTGAGGTATCCCCATAAAAAAATCACAGGGCATTAGATCAGGTGATTGCGCTGCCCACGGGATGTCACCTTGAAGCAAGATGAGCCGTAGGGGGAACTTTGCCTTCAAAACTGTCATCAAAGCTCAGGCTGTGCGGGCCATGGCACCATCCTGTTGGAACCAGACATTTCCTAGATGCATTTCTTCAAGAGCTGGTTCGAAAAAGTTTTCAATCATGTCCACATAACGCTGTGAATTGACAGTAACTGCATGATTGTATTCTTCAAAAAAATATGGGCCATTAACTCCAACTCTCAACAAAGCACACCATACTGTCACCTTATCACTGTGAAGTGGCCTCTCATGGAGCTCTCTGGGATTGTTACCACTCCAATAGTGCATATTCTGCTTGTTGACATCTGAATAGGTGAAATTGTGCCTCATCACTAAAGAAAACAAGTGCATCAGGGGGTAAAGTTTCCAATAATGTTTCGCATGCAGTTATTCGGCTCTGGAAATCATGTGATGACAATTCTTGCACAACAACCATCTTATAGGGATGGAGATGAAGATGTTCGTGAAGAATTTGGTGCATTGAATGATTGGATTTGTCTAGGGTGACTGCATGTTTGCGAGCAGAGCATCCTGGAGATCTCAAAATCGACTGTCGAACTGCCTCCACATTTTCTGGCGTCATAATGGTCTGTTGTCGTCCTGATGATTTTTTCAGCACACTCCCGGTTGTCATAAAGTTCTCTACCCACAAAATAATTGATTTCCGGTCGGGAACTTGACCTCTGGGCTTAATTCCGAAGTGAGTATGGAACGCACGCTGCACCACCACGTAGGAATGGTTGCTCGAAATATAGGCTTCGACAGCAAACGCACACTGCTCACTCGTCCACCTCATGTTTCCTACTGAGGGGTATTAGACAGAAACTTCCATGACTGCTGCATTCGCCAAGCCTATTCCCACTTTTCTGCGACCTCTCCTCCTTCACAATGCGTCTTCACAAAAAAGAAGTTTCTGTGCCCCACCCTGTATATTATTTTGGTTCATCTTTCAGCAGCCAGTTACTTCTGCTTAATTTTCTTGTATAATGTGTTGATGGAGTTACAATACTTACTTACATGCTTCTAGTTATACTCACAAAGTTAAAGAAAATATAGTTTCATTATAATTGGATATATATTTTATATTTCTCCAATATATCTAAATTCAGTAACAGGTTAGTTAAATTAAATTAAATTTAATTTTAGTTACATTTTTGTTACAAGAAATCTGATAGCAGAGGAACTCATGTGGCTGTAAATTAAATAGGCTCAAGTTCATGACATAAAGTCCCCCCCTCCCTCTTTCTCTGGCCGAATGTTCCAATTGCATAGTTCACAGTATATATATATATATACACACACACACACACACACACAAGCCTTCATTCCTTTCACCACAGAAATGGCTTGTGAACTAACTTGCTAAGGTTTAGCTGCCTATGCCGCGTTACATGGCTGTAAGAAATGCCTCAGGAAAAGAAAATTAGATGGGATTTGTGAATTCTGATTTTTAAGAAACAGAATTATAGAATGATGATGTGTGAGAACCAGTAGCATTAAGTTACCAGAGTTTAGTAATAACTGGAAACATATACATGGTGTGTTCAAAAAGTATCGAACCTTCTTTTTTCCCGCATAAACTAATGAAGCACGGGAGGCTCCCTTCAGTGGAGATGTGGAGGGGACATTCATTCACAGTTGTGAATTTTTTCCCACCCGCAGAAAGCGTCAGTCGCTGGCAGTCAGCCTATGAGTGAGAATGTGTAGTGAGCGCTTGTTGGATTCCAGTAAGGTGTAAAATGACAGAACAACATGAGCAGCAATACTGCATCAAATTTTACCAAAAGCTTGGCAATACCCAAGTGGAAACCAGTCACAAGATTCAACAGGCTTTCAGGGACGATGCCATGAGCAACTCACGGATAAAGGAGTGGTACAACCACTTCAAAGATGGCTGCACATCATTGGACAGCGAACCGCGTTCAGGCAGACCCTCAACAAGCCAAAATGAGAATGTCATTGAGCAAGTGCAGACTTTGGTCATGGAGGACTGTCGTATCACAGTCCAAGAACTTGTGAACGAGATAGGGTAAGCATTGGATCGGTACATTCAATTTTGACCGAGGATTTGGGCATGAGGAGAGTGTCTGCAAAATTTGTACCGAAACTGCTAACAATGGAGCAGAAGCAATGCTGTCTGGAAATCGCACAGGACGTGCTGGACAATGCAAACAGTAAGCTCAACTTTCTGAACACCACGATCACAGGCGATGAGTCGTGGGTTTATGGGTACGACCCGGAAATCAAGATGCAGTTGTCACAGTGGAAACATCCGAAATCCCTGGGGCCAAAAAAAGCATAGCAGGTCCACAGCAATGTCAAGGTCATGTTGGCTGTTTTCTTCGACTCGTGTGGGGTTGTGCATCATGAGTACGCATCACAAGGCCAAACCATCACAAGGGAATACTACCAGGAGGTCCTTCGTCGCCTTCGTGATGCTGTGCGCTGCAAACGACCGGATCTGTGGGCAGCAAAATCTTGGCAGCTCCATCATGATAACGCACCCGCCCATTCTGCACATTTGATTCAGACTTTTGTCGCCAAACACAACATCCCTGTGGTTCATCAGGCTCCCTACTCCCCCAACATGGCTCCGTGTGACTTTTGGCTATTTCCCAAGCTGAAAATGCCGCTGAAAGGAATCTGATTTGAGTCAAGAGAAGACATCATGCGGAATGCGACGGCTTGGCTGATCACCATTCCAAAAGATGCGTTCCAGAAGTGTTTCCAACAATGGCGGAAGTGCTGGGAGAAGTGTGTGCATTACCAAGGAGACTACTTTTATGGGAATTAGGGTTTTGTACCTCCAAATCAATAAATGTATTTCTGCCGACCAAAGGTTCGATACTTTTTGAACACACCACGTATAGTATTATTATACAACTGTCAATATAACAAATTCCTAATAAATAAACCAGTATTACTGTATTAATATTTCTTATCCTTATTATGAATATGTGGTGTTGACAGATGTATAATAACACTACACAGTAATATAAAACAGGATGCAAATGATAAAGATAACTGGAAACATTTAATTCTCCAGTTACCTTTAAAACATTTAACTGTCCAGCAGTTGAAGGGGTTTGTTTGAATATTTATGTTTCCACTAGCACCATCATCCAAGCATATCAGTGGTACAAAGAAAGATTGTCCTTTGTAACTTTAATTCTTAATGCTGTCTTCTCAAACTTCCCTTCTCATTTTCATTTTCTCAACTTCCTATTTGTATTTTTATCTGGTATCACTTAAATTAACTTTAGCTGATCATTACGAGTATTTATCAAGTAACAAGATTGTTACTTTCTGGCTCTTGGACTGAAGTGTTTGTTCCAATGTTTGCACAGTCCATAATATGAAAGAAGACTGCTTTTCATCTTGTTCTTTTTAGGATTTTTTCATAATTGATCTATTTTCTGCATAAATAGCTGTAAAAGTATTCTCAGGCCTGTTATAAACACTCCCCTTGCCTCATATTTGAAGTAAAATTCTGAAGTAAATTTTTGATAATTTGTTATATTTGTTCAGCTAAAAGCATGAACAATTTTCAATTCTGTTCAGTACAATTAGGATACATACAGCAATGGTATGTTTTAAAACACAATAACATCATGCATTTAGGAATTTGAAAATTAGTGTAAGTACAAAAAACTGCTGCATACTTGTGGCACTAGCGTAATGAGCTGCTGTTCTGTATAATTACTTCCTGCAGTTGTTAGTAATGGATCAGGAAGTTGTTGTTGCTCCTGTTGCACATATATAACCATAGATCGATCTATGCCTCCTTCTGTGGTGGTCGTGCAGGTAGTGGCAGTAGAGGTTGCAGAAGCAATTTCACATCTTTCTCTCCTTTCTTCTGAGCCCAATGATGCTAGGGCTAAGTTCCTATCCACATCATCCATTATAACGTACCATTACCTTAGGCTACCTGTAATTATGAAACTAAATGTGCAAAGATTCTAAAAGTTACTCTCATTTGAAAAAAACTTGATTTCAAATAATGAAACGCGTTATGATTTCTCGATGACAAAGACATTAGTAAAAATTCACACATATGCAATACTTTAGAGGTTATATTACACAGTATGCGAGGGCAACTTGTCGAAACAGCCGAGCACCTTAACCACACATTTGGATTCACATGGGATAGGAAAACAGGCAAAATACGGCACAGTTTGTAACATTATGGGGAGAAACGGGCAGGAAACGTTTTTGTGTACTTAAATTTGTAGCTTTATTATAAAAATAACATAAATTGTACAAAACAATGTTCCTTTCCGCAACCATTCAATACGTCAACTTCAAGTATTAGTATACCCCTCCCCCTTGTAATTACACCCATGAGTAGTCGGGAGAGAGTCTATATCCTGCCTTTCTTAGGAATCTCTAGCCAACTCCGGCCTATTAAAATAGGGGTACTCACGTTCCCCCACCAGTTGAAATGTATCTGTTAGAAGGTGCAAGTAGCTGAAGATATTCCCTTCGTTAATAATCATATAATTAGCTCAAATGAAGACCGGAATTAATGTTATTATATTATGACGTCACGTACCTTCTAAACTGGCGAAGTCAGCCATAAATGCAATTTCGTGATCGCCATGACGTCATGCACTGAGCTGCTTGGATACTATTGTTAAGTTTCCACATGTCTGACATCAAGGTCCTACACAGTTGATCCGTGGTAGGAACTACCGAAAATGAAAATTTCTACGCGGTTGGTGGAGCGTAATTTGAAATACATATAAAAAGGTGAAGTTGTCCCTGCGCTTAACTACGCCATAAAGGTGTATGGAGGAATGGCTATATAGATCCATGTTCTGACCTGGGCACTAGCTGGAGGTGAGTCTTGGATCTATACATCCACTCCCCCATACTCCTTCAGGACGTTGCGCTTAATAAATTTAGTGCAGGAATAAGTTTATCTTTAAGTATTACATTTTGAGAACCCATGATGTATGCAATTGAAAGAGAATAAAAAACGACTGAACCAAACATGAACTGAGGAGTTCTGTCTTCTAGGGTATAACCCTGTGTAATCTGTTGGAAGTTAAACGATGTTTCGTCGGAACATGTCGTTTCCATCTTCAGGGTCGAAGAATGAGCCAAACAAGAAACCAGCATGAAAGCAGGTGGAAAGCAAAGCTGGATTTGCTTGGTGTACGATCTTCGACCCTGGTAATGGAGACATGTTCCTCCAAAATATCGATTAATTTATAACGGACTACACAGCGTTAATCCCAGACGACATAATTCTTCATTACCGCTGCTGAGGACCTCAAATCCTGCAAACATACGCTGTTATTATGGATTCATAAGTAACGTTCAGGGCCTAAAGTCGTGCTTGCACTCAATAGCTACTCCTAAGATAGTTTCCAGTCGCCATTATCACACTATACAGAACACTTAGGTATGTTCTGATTAGTGATATGTAGTCACTATGACTGTCCAAGTAATCGAATACAATTACATAAAATCTAATTCAGCGTATGTCCTCTGTACATGGCCTGACAACAGAGTTTCAGGACTGGTGCTGCAGCAGTCATATTAGGTGGTGGTGAAGCGAACTACTGTCATCTATGTGTAGTTCTACATATTAAGAAAAATTTGCCAGAATCAGCAAATCCAGTCGCTGACACTTCATGAATAGATATTCTGTGAGTTTTGTTTCTAACTGTTATCAATATTTTAGACATGGAGCAACGAATGAATACGCAATTTTGTTTTAAACTGGGTTAAACGCCAGTGAAATGTTGCAGACTGTCTGTGCTGATGAAGCCTTTAGTTGTATAGCAATGCATCTGAATGGTCTGAACGATTTAAAGCCAGGTGTGAATCAAGTAGACCATATTTTGATAGATAGGAGACGGCACTCAAGTATACTTGATGTCCGATCATTCAGGGCAGCAGATTGTGATACTGACCACTACCTGGTGGTGGCAAAGGTTGGGGAAAGACTGGCAGTGAGCAAACAAGCAACACACAGAGTTCATATGGAGAGGTTCAATCTCAAGAAATTAAATGAGGTAGAGGGTAAGGAGCAGTATTGTGTTGAAATCTCAAATAGGTTCACAGCTTTGGAAAACTTGGAAACTGAGGTGGATGTTGATAAAGCTTGGGAAACTATTAGAGAGAATATAAAAATGTCTGCCAAAGAGAGTCTAGGTTATTATGAACTGAAGAAGCATAAGCCATGGTTCAATGAAGGATGCTCAAAATTATTAGATCAAAGAAAGCAGGCCAAATTGCAATGGTTACAGGATCCAAGCAAGTTAAATGGGGATAATCTGAACAATATAAGACGTGAAACCAGCAGGCATTTCAGGAACAAAAAGAAGGAATATCTGAAAGACAAACTTGATGAGCTTGCAATGAACAGTAAAAACAAGAACATTAGAGACCTGTATAGAGGAATAAATGACTTTAAGAGGGGTTACCAGCCTAGCAGCAACTTAGTGAAGGATGAGAATGGTGATCTGCTTGCAGATTCTCACAACACTTTGAATAGGTGGAGGAAGTACCTCTCTCAGTTATTGAATGTACATAGGGTCAGTGCTGTTAAGCAGACAGAAATCCATACAGCTGAGCCATTAATACCTGATCCTAGCCCTTTTGAGGTTGAAAGTGCTATTGCAAAATTGAAACGGCATAAATCGCCAGATAGTGATCAAATTCCGGCAGAACTTATTCAAGCAGGAGGCAAAATATTACATTCTAAGATCCACAATCTAATTACTTCTATTTGGCATAAGGAAAAATTGCCTAATCAGTGGAAGGAGTCTATTATTGTACTAGTTCACAAGAAGGGTGATAAAACTGACTGTAATAATTATCAGGGGATATCACTGATATCAACTTTATATAAAATCTTGTCCAATATTCTTCTTTAAAGGTTAAGTCTATATATAGATGAAATTATTGGGGATCATCAGTGTGGGTTTCGACGTAACAAATCAACTGCAGATCAGATCTTTTGCATTTGTCAGATATTGGTGAAAAAATGGGAGTGAGACAGGGCGACAGTACATCAGCTATTCATACACTTCAAGAAAGCCTACGATTCAGTTAGGAGGGAAGTATTGTACAATATTGTGATAGAGTTTGGGATACCCATGAAATCATTTAGGTTGATTAAAATGTGTTTAAACAAAACGTATAGTAAAGTCCATGTAGGTAAAAATTTGTCTGATAAATTTCCTGTCCAGAATGGCCTAAAACAAGGAGATGCTTTATCGCCAC